TTCACGCTCTGATGTATATAGGTTTTGAAAAATTATTGTAATTTAAGTAATAAATCAATTGACCCTACAGAAGTGCTTACGTCACGCAATTTTCAATCCATCTGAACATTAGGTATACGCAGTGCAACGTGGGATACATGTGGGTCAAATATTATTGTTTGATAGTGACGTGACGTAAGGACTTCCAAGGTCAATTACGAGACAGAGAACTCCGTGCATGTGTAGAGCCATGCGTGCATGTAATTGCTGCATGAGATGCAATGTTGTTTGGTATAGTCATTTAAGTACCATGAATTAGTGTTTGAGCAATCACTCTCACAGGGAACCTATTTATTTTTTGAAATTTCTATATTTAGCATCAAAGTTCGCAACCTAGCTCGGGTCTTTTATAGTTTTACGTTAAGAACTATATGCATGCATATTCGGATTTCGTTTCTATTGTAGATGTCATGTCATCCAGAGTTAAATCAATATATCCAGAATGTCCTACATAGCATTAAACCATGTTTGGAAAAGGTGAAATTATATGATTACTGTCTATGTGCCCAATGCATGTTTCGGTTTCCAAATATATCATCATCATGTTTATAAGTCTATATATATATAGACTGTAACATGAACTGTTTTCATTCGTTTAGGGTGAAGTGGAAAGGATTTCTGTTGTGGTTACTGACAAAGTATGTATATAATAATATATATTATCTGCCAACCGTCGTCTTTCGCGAATCTAACTTTGCATTCTGTGCTTTTCGCATGCTGTGCCGTTATAGCTGTTTTTGCATGGTTGTTTTTCTTTTTTCGTGTTTTAGGAGTTTTGTCCACTTGAGAGATTTGTGTTTGAAATTGAAACTCCACCAGAATTCTCATCATTAAGGTTAGAATAGAATTTTACAGAACCCATATTTTTACAGTTAAAGATAATAATTGACTAATGTGCATATATAGAAAGTTTAATCCGTGGGTTAATAATCTGAAGCTCTATAGAGATTTTGGAAGATATAACAAATTAAATCATTTGTCATCTTTTAAGCACTCATTGGGAAATAACATGCAACTGCTTTGCGTATCTATCCAACTTATAACTGTC